TTTGTAACCATCCTTTATAACTATCCTTTTCTGATCGGTAAGTACTCAACAACTTTGATAGTTGTTAAATATTTTAGTATAACTTTTTCCTAATTTTATTACTTAACAGTTTTGTGTACATGAATCAGTGACTCAATTAAGATGTGAATTATTGGAATCCAATAAAATTTCTTTCTTTCTTTCCTTCTTTTCTTTCTTTCTTTTTGACAGAGTGTTAGTCTATCATCCAGGCTGGATACAGTGGCGTGATGTTGGCTCTTTGCAACATCTGCCTCCTGGGTTCAAGCAATTGTCCTGTCCCAGCCTCCCAAGTAGCTGGAATTACAGGCACCTGCCACCACGCCCGGCTAATTTTTGTATTTTTACTAGTGACGAGGTTTCACCGTGTTGATCAGGCTGGTCTCGAACTCCTGACCTCAGGTGATCCACCACCCCCGCCCCCGCCAGCCTCCCAACGTGCTGGAATTACAACCATGAACCACTGAGCCTACCATATAACAATTTTTTTTAATGCTTGAGCTATGCTATGAGAACAGATTATTACTAAGGTACGAAGTGGTGGTCCAGCTGCAGTTTCCTGCCTGAGCCATGCTGTTTCATGCCTCTGTACCTCTGCAGGTGCTCTCCTTGGGCTTCAAAAGCCCACTTCTCTTGAGTTCAAATAGATGTTATCCATTGCTCAAGTCCAAGCCACTGACTCCTCACCTTTGACCTAGGTAATTGCTTCCTTCTCTTCTATGCCACTGCATTTTGTCCATATTTCAATTATTTTCCACTAGCTAAATTGTTACACACTCTGTCTTCGCAAGGCTACAACCTCCTCTAGGAGAGAGGCATTTGTAACCATAGCAGCATGCTTGCACATAATGGGTACTTAAGAAATGCTTATGGAATGAACAAACTTTACTTTGTGTTTTAAAAACTATACTCACAAAACATTTCATTAGAAGTTGTGAAAACTCACTGAATTTGCAATGACTTTGAAATGGTTCTTAGGGTGACAGATAGGGTGAACTGGCCCACATCATCCATTCTTCTTTCCTTCTAGTGTGCTTTCATAATCTGCAAAACCTGGAAGAGCTAAAAGTCTACATTACCCAGTCTGCTTTGCAGCTCAGATTCTGGATGGCATTTATGGTGCTCAGGTTTAGTCAATTAAGTGCATTTGTATGAGATTTGGAAGGCGGAAGTGAGGTGAAGACAACGGTTCTTCCATTTCTGCTATGGCTGCCAGCAAGAACAGGCAGGGACACGTTGGGTATTCTGAGGCAGCTATCCCGTCTGATCAATAGTTTTCCTGATGCCAGAGGAAGGGCATCCAGTTTATGCTGGAATGCATCTATCAGGAGGAGGGTGACGGTTGTGCCGGATTGCAACGGAAGTGGCTCACAGTTAAGGGGGTCCATTCTTGAAGAAACAGCTCCAGTGGGAGCTTCCTCACTGCCCACTTTCAGGTTACATGATAGGAAGAAACTTCCCTGCTGGCTAATTCTGGGATGTTTTCTGGGGTCATGCCTGTGGTTCAGCCTAGAGCCTATTGCCCCAGCCCTTCTAATGACTGTTAGCATCTATTTCCACGAATGAAAACTCTTTCTGTTGAAAAAGGCCAGTGTACAATTCAGTTTCTGCAAATGAACAAATTCTTTTCTTGATTTTCAATACATGAAGTGCTGTAGAACATTGGAGATGGTTGTCAAAATGAGGGGAAGGAAAGGACAGAACAGGAAATGTGAAAGAAGAGAAAGAAAAAGAGAAAGAGGGAGTGTGGGAGAAGTGGTAGAGAGGAGAAAAGCAGAGCACATTACCCAGACTTTTTGTTGCTGTTGTTGTTTGAAGAAAATTTAGGAGGAACATTAATGGTCAAACTGCCTTTTTTAATTTTTTTATTTTTTGCTGGTATTTGAATATCTACATTACAATAAATTCCAAATTTTACTGCAAATTTTTATTTTATTTTATTTTTTGAGATGGAGTCTCGCTCTGTCACCCAGGCTGGAGTGCAATGGTGCAATCTCCAGTCACTGCAACCTCCACCTCCCAGGTTCAAGCGATTCTCCTGCCTCAGCTTCCCAAGTAGCTGGGACTACAGGCACGTGCCACCATGCTCAGCTAATTTTTTTGTATTTTTCATAGAGACGAGGTTTCGTTATGTTGACCAGAATAGTCTTAAACTCCTGACCAGGTGATCCACCAACCTCGGCCTCCCAAAGTACTGGAATTATAGACGTGAGCCACTGCAACTGGTCTGCAAATTTTTACATTAGTCAAACCTTTCAAGATGATGCGAATATTGTCTCCTGAAATATATTCATGGATTTTTTATTGAAGTGAGCAAAAATCACAGGCTGGGCTTGGTGGCTCACACCTATAATCCTCCACTTTGGGAGGCTGAGGTGGGAGGATTGCTTGAGGCCAGGAGTTCAAGATGGGCAACTTAGCAAGATCTCCATCTCTCCAAAATAAGAATGAACTATTAGCCCAGCGTGGTGAGGTGCATCCGTAGTCCCAGCTACTTGGCAGGCTGAGGCAGGCAGATCACTTGAGTCTTGGATGTCAAGGCTGCAGTGAGCTGTGATTGTGCCACTGTACTCTAGCCTGGCTGATAGAGAATGATCTCGTCTCTAAAAAGAAAATTAAAATTAAAAATAGAAATAAGAAAATCACTATTTGTGTCTTAAATTCACAAGCACTAGAGAAAATTTGAAGAAAGGTGAGTTTAGCGATGATGAAAAACACCTTTATGCTATTTAAAAGATGTCCCACCAGATATACAACTGAACTGACCAGATACAAACAGTATCCAGAAACCTTGATTAGCTTTGGCCATTTCCCTGTGTTGTAAGTATTTGATAATATGTCAGATAGATGTGTTTGTAATTTTTATATAGACCTCTATTTAACAATAACTTTGCTCATGCTGTTCATTTAGCTTGGAATTCTTGACTCTTGTTGTTCTCCCAGGAAAAATCCTATTTGCCCTTCAAAAACTGGTTGATATATGCCCTATGTAAAGACATCAATGAGGCTGGGGGTGGTGGCTCATGCCTGTAATCCCAGCATTTTGGAAGGCCGAAGGGGGCTGATCACCTGAGGTCAAGAGTTCAAGACCAGCCTGGCCAACATGGTGAAACCCTATCTCTACAAAAACACAAAAATTAGCTAGGCATGATGGCAGATGCCTATAATCCCAGCTACTCGAGACACTGAGGCAGGAGAATCTCTTGAACTCAGAATGCGGAGGTTGCAGGGAGTTGAGATCATACCACGGCACTCCAGCCTGGATGACAGAGTGAGATTCCGTCTCAAAAAACAAAAGACATCAGTGATTACTTGGGCACAGCACAACTTTTTTTACTTCCCTATTTTTTTTGTTCTGTGTGTCTACCTCTTTACCACTGGCTACTGCATGGGTACTGATACGTCAGGCTCTCCTGCTAGATTATGAGTTTTTCGGAAAAGTTCATGCAGGAGCTCTAGTACAGAAAACTTGACATTTACTAAAAACTTTTTCGCATTAAAGTAGAATCTATTCTGCATCAAGTTTTAACTGGGTACCTTAAACACAATTCATTATAATTATTTCATTTTTCATTTAAGTAATACAGAAACATAAAGTTAAAGCTACAAATAAATGTCTATTTGTTACAGACATAAAATCACTTGCCATAACAGAATTACTGCAATTGTTTATACAGAAATTAACAACATAAAGAAAAAAATGCTTGTGAAGGAGATTTTATGTGATCAATCAACAAAGACATGAAACATGAAGATTCTGAGAAACGTCGGGAAGCTATAGAGACAGAGAGGTACAAGTCACTGGGAAGAGAGCTGGTGCAAATGTGACTGCTGGTGGCAAATGTGACAACCTCACAAAAACTGTCTTGCTTAATCAGAGGCAAAGGGAATATTACAGAAACTCTAAAAAAATGAGAAATCAGTAACAACAACCAATGGTACACACTCATTTAGGGGCCTTTGCATGTCGGATTCAATTAGTTCCACTAATTCCATGTTCACTTTGGAAACTTGAAAATCTTGTGGCCTGAGTGTGCAAATAAAGTAAATTATCATTTTTAAAGTACATGGAGGAAAAAAGAAAACTCCACCCCTACTTCGCACCACCACAAAAATTAATTCAGTATGGATCACGGACCTAAACATAAAAGCTAAAATTATAAACCTTCTAGAAGAAAACATAGGAAAATATTCTCATAACTTTGGGGTAGGCAAGATTTCTTAGAGAGGGCACAAAAAAGACACTCAATCTAAAAGAAAAAAAATTTTTTGAGACAGTC